ACTCTCCCATGGACTTTGCTGGCTCACAGCAGAGTCAGCAGGAGGAAACTATGCCCACATGTTTGGTCATTCACAAAAACATACCAGACAGTGAAATAAAGGACTGAAAACTAGGCATGCATTCCCAGTCTCCAGCTCTGCTATGGGGGTAGTAGATGCCAGCAGGACAGTAGAGCACATAGCAGTGGGCTGGGATGCTAAAACACCAGCAGGATTCACCAGTGCACCTCTGGCAGGGCCTTGAAAGAGCCCAGAAACAGCAATTCACAAAGAGCAGCAACATCTCCACCAAATAGAAGGGCCTGATAAAAGCTGCATTACAAATATCACCTAATTAACATTACCTACATTTCCTAACAGTAGGAAACCTAAACTGTATGCAGGGTCAACTTCAAAGGGAGAGGAGGTCTAAGCTGAAGAAATACAAAAGGATGCATAACCAAAAGTCATGAGATTAAAGAAAGGGAAAGCTTAAAACACAAAGTGGAAAAAAAAAAAAACCCTGGGAGCAAACCATCACACTGTCAAGCAGGGTCTTAGTGGCAATGATGGAAGCCCCATGACTTGGAAAGTTTAAATTTAGAGTAAACAAAGCATTAGGAGGCTTACACCCTGGGGAGCAGTCCTGCCTCATCAGGGAGACAGGCTGCACTGGCCACCTCTGCCTCCAGTGCCTCTTCTCCTGCAGGACATAATCACTCTGCTCTGATGAGCTACTTCAGTCATGCCAAAGATTTCACAGACATAGCAATTTAGAGATTGTCTGTGACCTCTGCATCCAGCAGTTCTACTTGCAAATAACTAGCTGGAAGAGCCACTTGCCAAAGAGCTCTATTTCAGCTTAGGCAAGATTCATGAATGAAACAGCACTGGTTCTGTGATTTTTAGCAGCAACTTTGGCAGTGCAGAAAACTCTTCTGGACCCTGAGCTCACTGCTCACCATCCTCTGCAAAGTAATTAATGTGGTCTAAAAAAGAGTTTCCCACACTGATCTTTAGTTCACTGACATTTTTGAGACTGAAACCTTGTTCAAAATTCCTAGAAACTGTGGAATTCTAATATTCAATACAACAATGGGTTCTCCTCCCAGTGGTACTGATGACCGTTATTCTTCTTTTCTACCAATTTCTTCCTTCTTTCCCCCTGACCATCATCATCTTCTAGATGTTCAAAGTCATAAGAAAGGGCCCTTTTTTATTCCTGTTGAGGCCACTTAGGGCTGTGACATCAGTGGGACCATGCAATATCTGGTGACTGGGCTGCATGTCAGGAGCCATGGTCCTTGGCCTGCCAAGAAAGCTGGAGCAGTTGGGAATGTTTCCTTTTACTTGGTATTTTACCTTCAATCCAGAATAACTGGGGAAAACAAAATCCACTTTGGAAACAGCAACATGAGCCCTCTCTTTTTGTGATCAACAGCTGGCCTGAGCTTTGAGAGCCATCTCTGGAAAGTTTGTCTCATCTTTCCACCAGCAAAGAGGTCAGCTCCCTTTCATTTCTTCTTCTTTTTTTTTTTGTTTGTTTGTTTGTTTGTTTGTTTGTTTCACAGAAGCCTTCCTGGTGGATGAAAATGAAAAAAAAAAAGAGAGAGGAAGAGTTCAGGGAATCCTGGGGTCAGCATGCAAGGAATCTGCTCCCTCTTGCAGGGCTGCTGAAGCAACAGCAGGAGATGGTGGCAGCAAAGGTGTCCTGTCTCTCACCCAAAGGACAAAAGGAAATACCACATCAGCAGCACCAGTGATCCTTGTCACCAAGGTCTGCTTGTCCTGGAGAGTGTTGAAAGAGACCCAGGGCACAGGCCATGCCCACAGGCCCTTCCCAGATTAGCTAGTCTTTCTAAGGAGAGTCAGGATTCAGCTCCAGAGCACCTTCTATGCACAGCTCCTCCTGGGGAAACAAGTGACACAGCAAAATATTGCCCTTGGAAGAGCATCTATCTGCTGATTTCAGTATCTGTGCAAATGAAGAGAGAAGTTAGCCCTCAATGTGTTTGGTAAATATCAGAGGGCAGAAGCACAACAAATTAAGTGGCTCTCCAGGGTTTTCTGTTTTCCTTACAAATAAGCTGTGGTTTTATTTTTTGCCAATTTATCAAAATGAGAAAATTGCAGATAATCAGCTGTAAAGTGTAATATAGTTTTCTGGTAATAAGCAATAATTTTAGCCAACCATTATACATTCTTCCATACAGACCTCAAGTGTTTCATTGCTGAAAACAAGTGGCATCAGAAATACTGATCCAGAATTCAGCCTTCCAGTACATAAAGGGGGCTTACAAGAGGCTTACAAGAAGGGTGTGCAGTCATACAACAAGGGGGAAAAGCCTTGAGGTGAAGAAGGGTAAATTTAGATTAGATACCAAGAAGAAATTCTTTATTCAGAGCGTGGTGAGGCATTGGAACAGACTGACCAGTTCTGGTTGTCCCATCCCTGGAAATGTTCGAGGCCAGATTGGATGGGGCTTTGGGCAACCTGATCTAGTGGAAGGTGTCCCTGCACATGGCAGGGGGTTAGAACAAGATGGTCTTTAAGGCCCCTTCCAACTCAGACCATTCTATGAGTCTGTGGTGATTCTATGAATGTCCAAATTCTTTGTGCATTTGGAAAGCTCCCACTGAATCTGACATTACAGTGTTGGAACAACAGAAATGTGTAGTCTGGGGTCACTGGGTCACTGCCCTAATGTCTCATACACACTCTCCCAGGTAGTCTGCAAACAAAACAAGTGACTAAAGCAAGGAATCCTGGCAGCCAATCACATAAAGATGAATTAGTAGTGGTTCTCTCAGTGTAATCAACTCCTTCTTTTCCCTTTTTAACAAAGAAACAATATCTGAACTGGACATTTACAGTGGAGAGAGATTGTAAATGGGAGTTTACATGCACAGCTAGTGTTTGCAGGGCACAGTTAATAAATGCTCCTCACTCCCTCCAGACTGCTCTCCAGAGAAGCAGCAGATTTATACAGTCATGGCTTTGATTAGACACAGTGATTTTATATACTTAGTTATGAAGGGTTTGGTTTTGGCTGACTTTTTCAATTACTGACAAGCAGAATATACACACAATTGGTCCTGCCTGTAGCAGCCATATATCTGAGTTGCAAAACCACAAAAATACACGCAATTTCCTTGTCTACAGCTTTCCAATTTTCCAACACACATGCATTTCCTACCAGTGAGCTGCAGGCAGCTTGCCATTCAGCTTGTGGAGTTCCTGGCTTACCCCTCAGAGAGGCCTCACTCCCTCTAGAACTGAGAGAGAAGATGAGATTTGTCTCTGGCATTTGGACTCATCCTACCTGGGCAACCACAACACATGGAAGGATCAAAGCCACATTTGGGGGCACCAAAGAGGCTGTGAGTCTCCTCCAAAAAGGCTCAGGAACTTGCCAAAGGTGTCCCAAGAAATTTGTGGCAGAAGAGAGAATGTCAGCTGCTTTCCCAGCACATCTGCATCCCCCAAAATGGGTTAATAAGTGTTTTGGTCATCATCATGTAAGAAATGTACTGCACGAGGGATCTACTGCAGGACTACCTACAGGGAACACAATTCTCACTCTGATAAACAGGGATTGAGAATTACAAGGCACCTAAGTATTGAAGGCAAAGCTAATGGGGAACAGGTCTGAGGACATAAAATGCTAAGAGAGGCAGGTAAGGATTTATTTTCAATCCCTCCTACACATAAAATCATGAAATGGAAACCCTAGGGTAATATCTTCCCTCTTCTCAAGTTCTTCCAGATGCCTTAAGTGTGCCACTCATCCACAAGGGTTCAGGCGATGCTCATAGCTATCAATCACCTTGGTCAATGAAATGTTGCAAGTAAATTTTTCAGTAAATCAATAAAAGAAGGGAAGGCTTGCCACTGCCAAAGCTTTCTCTCTGTGTTCTCCCACCCTAAACAACACAACTGCCTCTCATCTGTTTCATTATGAACTTTTGTTATCATATCAGGGAAAACCTTCCTTGATAAGGACCACGTCCTCCCATACTACAGCTCAGTCCTTTGCTGTGCAGTGAAAGTGTCATGAGGGCAACTTCAAATCTGTCAGCCTAAGGGTTACACTACAGACAAACACCAACCTTGTGCAAATTCTTGAGAACTTACCACTGGCGTTTGGAAGCCAAAGCACTCACACCAACTTTTTAAAAAATGCTGTAAATGTCTCTTAAAAACCCTGGATGCAAGGGGGAGAAGTGATGTGGAAAACTCTGGCCTTTAGCCAAATTATAAAAGAAATTACTCACTAACCCTGTAGGTTCATTAATCTAGTCTGCTATAATTTTTTATTATGAGTTATTATTGATTCTAAGCCATAAACACACTGGATAACTGAGAGCTTTGCCCAAAAGTTTTCACAGTCCCAAATCTGACACTTGGAAAAACTTGTGCTTGCTTCAACACCCAGGAGCAGACCCTATTCATCTCAACAAAATCAGCCAACTCATGTTTCTAATTTTAGTTGCTCCTACTGACAGTTGAGTAACCCTGGCACCTTCCAAATAATCCTTTGAGTTGCTGACATCACATGTGCTCTTGGGACAATATACAGAGACAACTTTCCCTACACAGATGGTCAGAGCTGATTAACTACTGGGGGATGTTATGAGTTTAAGTGATGTATGACCACTTACAATGGCCTAAGAGCCAAATGAGTCACAAAAAGTAAAGCCAAGGATTCTTTTTGGGTTTCAAGTTACCAAAGTAAAAGCCTCTTGAAATAATATCTAAAGCAAAAAGAATGCTACAGCAATTTGTGAATGTGTTGAAAAAGCTAATAATTGGGAAGGAAAACTATAAAAATAATGCTCAAAATCTAATTCAGTCCTGTCTAAACTACAAGGATGAATTATCCACTAAGCTGTGTGAGATGTCAGAGCTCCCATGCTGGGTAGCCCTGCTCAAGGCAGGTCTGTGCTACACCAACACTGAGAGCTGCTGCCTGGCCAAGGAAAGGTGAAGTACAAATTTAAGAAATGCATTTTAACAATACCTGAAGAGAAGTGCCAGCTGAGCAGGCAACATCTTCTTTAATTAAAGTTGCATAGGAGTGGGGATAGCGAGAAGGACACAGCTGATGACTTGGTACAATTCGGCCGTAAAAAGAAGACTGGATGCTGATGGTGGTTCTGTGGGGACATCTCAGGGACACATATTCTCCATCACAGGCATGGTCAGTGTAATTCTTTAGTACCTGTGATATGTAACCTGCAAAAAACACAACAAAAACCATCATTAGGGAAAAGTAGCTAACAATTAGTTGATTTACAGCAGTGGAGACAACAAACACAAAATAATAGGCAATGAGGGATGCAGATTTTATTAATCATCTCACAAAGGTGCAAAGGAGAGACACGATGACAGGGACATTAGGGACACTTGGTGATTTGACCTTCAGCTATGTTTCATATCCTTAGTGGAAGGAACATTTGGATGCTCTAAACTCTTAGTTGAATCATACAACTTATTTACATCAGCATGTCTGTCAACTTTACAGGAAATGCAGCTGAGCCAGACTCATCATTTAGACTTAGTCTAGATGACACATGCAATTTTTGGCCCCTCAGTACAAGACAGATTTCAATAAACTGGAGTGAGTACAGAAAGCCACCAAAAAGGCTGGAAGCTAGAGCACTTTCCCTGTAAGAAATGGCTTCTTCAGCCTGGAGAAGAGACATTTTTGGGAGGAAAATAACAGCAGCTTGCCAGTATCTGCTCTGAGGTTATCAGAGATGGAGCAGGCTCTTCACAGTAGGAAAATGAGAAATAACAGGCACAGTAAGAAACAGGAGTTTTAGACCAGATATATGGAGCAAGTCCTTCAGAGAGCAGTCAAGCAGTGGAGCAGCTTGCCCAGAGAAGCTGTGCAGCCTACATTACTGGAAGTTTCCAAGACTTTACTGGATAAAGCCCTGAGCCAGCAGGTCTGACATTCTAGAGCAGTAGGTTAGACTAGAGAAGTCCCTTCCAACATCACTTTTCCTATAAACCAATGGTCATGGGCAAAAAGGCCCAAATGCAGAGTCACTAAGGGGAAGGTTGGGGTACAATTGGTTGTATGAGGTCCTATTTCATCCTGGCACTCCAGTCCCATCTTTGATCTCCTTTCACATTATACCATTTTAATTCTTCTGGCTGCACCTTCTGTCCTAGCCCTTTGACACTTCCTCAGAGCTTTGCTTTCTCTCTCATTTTGAACAGTCACAATATTTTTTGAAGGAAAACACTACACAGAACCAAATCTCTCCTTGTTTCTTAGGGGATTATGTTATCCACTATAATGAAGTTGTTGACAAGAATAAAGCAGAGGGACAAAGTCTCATTAAAATTGCACTGAGTCAAAAGGGCTGATAACAGTCAGGTTGCCATGGGAACTCCCAAACAATCCTGACTTTGCTGCACTCAGGGAAGCCTCCTGGTTGCTGATACAGAGACATCCATACAGGGAACACTAGAGCATGCCCCATGTCAGTGTCAGCCATGCCTCCATTCAACCCCACAGATCTCTTCTCTGCAATGGGTCTGAAAGTCCCCTTTCCACTACTGCCACCTACACGAGCCTACAAGCAGCCACCCCACAATGCCTGTCCCTATATTCCTCTTGCTCTGTGGAGGAAGACAGAGAGAGGACATGGTGGGATGGCTGCTGCTGTACTTTTAAGAGATACAATAGAGAAAAAAGACAGAGCAATTAAAAGAAACAATCCCTGGACAAATTCCTAAGAGGAGAGATAAAACTTGTTTTTTCAAAAAAAAAGACTATTCTCTTGGTGACCCATAATCACAGAATGACTTAGGTGTTTACCTTTGCAAGTCATCCAGTTCAGCCTTCTGTTCCAAGCAGGGCTAATTTAGTCCAGCTTTCCCACTTCTGAACCCAAGGGTGGAGCTTCCACAACCTCTCTGAGCACCCTGTGCCAAAGCCTAACAGCTGTCACAGTGAACCCTTTCAGAGAGAAGACTGTTTCCATTTTGTCTATACCTTTAGGCACTTTAAAACAATAATTAAATCCCACTTTCCCAATTTTTCACTTCCCATATCCAGACCTTTTACTGGGAATAGCTCTTCTTCCATGCCAACACCAAAACCTAGCTCAGGAGTGCTGTGAAACACCACCAATCTCAACAAATTTCAAGGTGTCTAAAACAACTACGATTACTGTTCTTAGAGAAAACCAACACACAGTAATTTAGCTTCATTGTTCAGCTGCCACTGTGGGGGCTGGATTCTCTGATTTCTCTAAATTTTAGCCTGTAGTTCTTACTCAACAGTTCTGTTGCTGCAGTGCCTCGAGGTGTGTGCCAAATAAATATTTACTCAAATCAGCATATTAATTTCCAAGTCCCAAGGGCAGCTTTTGCTCATTAGAAAAAAGCTGAGACACAGCCTCAGTTATCAGAGTGAGTGACAGGGCTGCATCAGATCAGCAAAAAACACTGCTTAATTTAGTGCCTTTATTTCACTTGTTCAAGGAGGCACTCTGGGACAAAATTAACTGCTGGGGTGGACCTGCTTTCCCAGTTGGTAGAATATATGCCCTGTGGGTCCTGCACACCTAGTCCTGGAATTAGTTCAGCTCTCTCCCTCAAAAGTAAGGCAACTATGCAGGATGGCCATCAGGGCAAGCAAACCACAAACAGACTCAGAATACAGCACAAAATATTGAAATGCATTTCCATGCTGTTAGTCCAGTGCATTAGGACTTTTCCCTGAGGCCACTCTATTAAGGAGCCAGAGAAATACAACCAAAGTGCAGTCAGGACTCTACTGTCTCCTCTGAATATTCAACTGCTCTGTCAGAACAGCCTCCTACAGCATGCCTTTCATATTGCCAATTCAGGATCAGGAAGGTTACAGCCCCTGCAATTAGTGCAGATCACTTGTTGAAACAGCTCCTTCCTCTCATCTTCCACCAGAAATCTCAAAATAACTTGAGTTCGCTCAAGCTCAAGATATTGATGGGGTTGAATGCTTTGATGGTGATTGACTCATAATACACAAAGCACAATGCCTGAAACATCTGCACTGACCACTGTCAGAGAGAAGAGACTGGATTAGGCACAGGCATAGTCATGGAGGAGATGATGTTCTTCAAAGTGCAAAAGGAAGTGGCTGTAGAGAATTATTGCTTTTTTTTTCTCTCTTTAAGTGTGTCAGATTTGTACTAATTCATTGGTAGTTCTTTTGAAAGTGTTGGCTTTTCATTACCCATTGATTCATTGTTCAGTAACCCAAAATCTGAATTCTTTTCAGGACCCTTGCTGAATTTTCAGTAACAAGTCTCCAAGTAACCTTTTATATCCTTACGTGTGGTACCCAGGGAGGGAACCACTGGGAGTCTCTTTGCTGAATGAAATATTTAAACATGAAGCCAATGGCATGTGATTGAGGACTTTAATAGCACTTGTATACCAGGGTAAAACAATGTCAGACCAGGTGGTAATTTGAGCTTTTCTTTAAAAATATGAATTTCATTTGAAAACATGTTAAAAGCAACAAAGAAATCTAAATAATTAAGCCCATTAAACCTTTTCTAAATGCTTCATGTTTTGAAAACCTGGGATAACAAAAATAATCTCAAAATGTTTTGTGGTTAACACTTCTCTTTTCTTAAGGATTGTGTCAAGGATGTGGAATCTTTGATGACGGGCTTTCATACTCCCAAGTTAAATCAATGTATAGAGCTCCAGAGTTAAACATCTCCTCAATTCAAAAAAAAAACAGTGTCACCACCAAAGCAGGGATTTACACTCTGGAGACAGAATAAACAACCAAAAGAAATGCATCATGAAATGACAGATCATTTTTCCCTCAAAAAAGAAGGAAATGTTCCCTTCAAACACCACCTGCAATTTATTTTTCCAAAGTGTGGGGTTTGCCTGCAATCAGTCACCAGCAAATATTTTACACTACTCACCAAACAGAATGCTTAATGCTGACCATAACTTTATCCCCCCCAGCCCTGTCAGCTCCTAAGAATCATTTGAACCATTGCCTCTCCAGGAAACTGTTGAGTTTCCAACAGTCAGTTGAGTCCTCCAACAGTCAGTTCTAGATCCTAACACATATGAAGGAAAGATAAACATAACAGCTTCATACAGAATATCACCATTTTACAGGAACTGTAAATCTAAACATCCTCCTTTATTTCTCTCATGGAGCTACAGCCCTTCCTTTTTGAAACCAAAGCAGCTGATGGAGCAGTTCACAAAAGCACAGATGGCATAAGGGCTTCCACCCCATCCAGAAGCAGGAAAATACAGCCCCCAGTACATAAAGGGGCTTTACAACAAGTCCAGAGAGGGGCATTTCACGGGGGCACAAAGTGACAGGACAAGACAGAATGGCTTTAAACTAGAAAATTCTCCTCTTAGGAAGAAATTCTTTACTGTGAGGGTGGTGAGGCCCTGGCACAGGTTGCCCAGAGAAGCTGTGGGTGCCCCATCTTTGGAAGTGTTCAAGGCCAGGTTGGATAGAGCTTGAAGCAATCTGGGATAATGGAAGGTGTCCCTGTACAAGGCAGGGGATTGGAATGAAATGGTCTTTAAAGTCCTTTTGCAGCCCAAACTGTTCTATGATTCCATGAGTCTTTGAGTCTGTAACTGTTCTTTGATAACAGCAGAGCACACAAACATTCATTCATGTATCCCAATTAGCCATGGCTGTCTAAAACCAGCAAATTGTCTTCTCCTGCTTCCACTAAAACCAGTTCTAGTTTTGCTTGACAAGGCACAGAGCAACTCACCAGCTGCCAATCCTCAGAACAGAGATTTCATCTTTCACTAGGGAACATCCCTGTAGGAATGTGCTGGAAGAATAGAGAAAATCACAATAGAACTAACTCTTTTTATAGTTTGGATGTGATCCAAAAATTTTAATAAATTACAAGAAAATTCAAAGGATCCTAATGGTTAATGAATTACTACATATAATTAAAGTCAGAGCTTCATAAACATCTGCATCAAGCTACATCCAAGCTATTGTAATGTCTTCTTAAAATATCCCATTTTGAGCTCTTGTGGTTACAAATACAGGAGTACATACATATCATAGAGAAAAATCAACCTCATAAAAAAAGGACTATATACTTAGAAATAAGTGATTTACCAATCACTGAAACACATGGAGTCACTGCAATTAACTACTAGTGAATTAAGTATTCCCTTGTTGCTGGTTGACAGAGATTCTTTTATTTATTATCTTCTTA